TAAATTGCTGTAACTTGTTTTTTTGCTGAACTTTAATACTCTTCCAAATCTGAGAGAGACTCTGAGAGGGTTCCTAGGAAAGTTCAGGGATTAGAATGAGAGCATGATAGTTTTCTGAAATAAAACGGGAATTAAATTCCTTTTTAGGAGGCTGTAGAGAATTGTTGGAAATTGAGACTTTGACAGGCCATCTTGTAAGGTTAGAATGTGTTTGATCAAAATGTTGAGGCTGAGGTTTTTCAAAGTGATTAAAGTTGGCTGATGGGTGTCCAAATTGCCTTGGTGTCATACAGTATACCCTTCTAAATCCTGTTATTGTGACACGAGTATGTTAAAAAAAAAATCTAGCTGGGGAAACTGAAAGCAACCTCCAGTAGGGCACCCAAAAATCACTATTGAAAAATCTGGCTGAAATACTTGGGCAGGTTTTTGTGCCCTGAGGACATGGTAATGTATTGCTGTGACTATTATGCTTACTTTGACTTCTGGGGACAAGGAGCCATGGTCACCGTCACATCAGGTAGGTATCATTCCTATATATCTTAGAAATCCAGAAATGTTTAAATATATTGCAAGTAGCTTCTGAAATCCAGGAAATTTTCTCTAACTTACATCTGTTCACGGTAATTCAACCCCCAGTGAGGTATTTTGAAAAAATATTGAGGCTGGTATTATGTAGAAATCGTTAAAATGTGATATTCAGAGTCACTGGGTGAGAATTAAAAAAACTTAGGAGGCAAATATTAAGATTAGATTATGTGTAGGGTTAAAACAGCCACTGGGAAAAGATGATTGCTAATAACTAAGGGAGTGTGAATGGGTTATTGTACCACCATGATAAGAGATTAGACTAGTGTGATTACTATGGCTTTGACTCCTGGGGACAAGGGACCCTGGTCACCGTGACTTCAGGTAAGAACTACTCTTCTTTTCGAACCCCCAAAACCTTTGCACAAAAGTTTTCTTGGAGATTTTTTAAAATTGAGTTTGATCCCCAAGCCACCATAAATCAGTGGTAATCTTCACTTCATGAAGGGATTCCCGTTGGCTTTCCACTGAATTGGCTGCAGGTCAGACCCAAAGACGGAAAAATATTGCTCTGTTGAACTTGGTAGATTCCATTAGGCGAGATGTTCATAGATTCAAGTGACTATCATTCAGTAGGAGGCAGGATTAAATTGAACACTATGTTAAAAATAAGAATAAAATGCCAAATAGACCTAGTCACTAAAGAAATCTAACTATCTGTCAAATTTCGGTTGAGGGAAGGTGAGACTAAGCCAGTTAAAATAGAAAATTATGATAAAAACTGACAAGTTCTTGAATAAAAATGGTGTAAATTGTATTTCTGTCACCTGAGGATTAGACCAGGTCAGCTGGGTGATCTAAGTGACCAGTTCTGAGGTTTAAAATCAGTATCAATAAAGCAGTAGGTTTATGTAGAAACAGGCTCTTAGGTTTTATCAATGTGACTACAATGCTTTTGAGTACTGGGGACAAGGGACCATGGTGACCGTCACATCAGGTAAATGCTTTCCTCCTCTTTTTTTCAATCCGTTTTACTGCTAATTGATTAAATTGACTTATCTTTCATTTGGAATAACTTTGCCCCCTCAGCACCAATTTTTTAGTGATGATCTTGGTAAACAAGACAAAGGGAGGCAAAAATGAGCATAAAAGTGATAGACAGTGAATTAAATGATGAAGTTTAATTAAAGAATGGGGGATGGACTGATTCCTTAGGTTTTAGTCAGGTAGGACCAGAGTTAGAACCACTGTGATTACTATACTTTTGGCTACTGGGGTCAAGGAACGATGGTGACCGTTACCAGCGGTAAGTTTTTCACTCCTGGCTTTTATGGGTTAAGTTCTATCATTATTTAGCAGGTTAAAATATTGTTCCCCAGAGGAGGGTCCATTTATAAAAGTATCAGAGGTCAGGCAAGGTTTTTTAATCAGGATTTTACTCTGCTTAGATATTGTCATTCTTGACAAAATAGATTTATTATGGAGCAAAATGAGATATTTGATTTTTAGTGGATCTTAGATCTTGACCCTTGAGTCTTTGCCGTCCGAGGCCAAACTCAACCAACACGGGTCTGAGGTTATTGTTTAGGATAATGGAATAAATGTACTCTTGTGTACAACCGATTCGACCACTGGGGTCAAGGGACCCTGGTCACCGTGACTTCAGGTAAACCCTAGCCTCTATCCTCTTTTCTTATTTTGTTTCTTGGAAAATGTTTTTTTCAGTTAAGAGCCCTATAAAAGTTTTAGAAAGGTAGAGGTTACTTTTTTAAAAATAACAATAGGGTGAAATATATTCTGAGGTCCCGGTAGGACTTGGGTTAAGGTTTTTGTACACCCACTAAGGGTAACTGTGACAGTGTGACTACTTCGATTACTGGGGCCAAGGGACCATGGTCACCGTCACCTCAGGTAAGACATTTATTGCTCTCTAACCCACTAATTTCTCCAGTTCTGGGATTTTTGAAAAAAATTCTGTCTGGGGAGGTTGACTATAGCCGGCATAACTTTTTCATTTCTCAATGCCCTCCGGGGCATTTCACTCAACTGCGGTGAAGGAACAGGGTTTTAACTCGGTGTCTTAGCAAAAGATTGATTTTTTCCACCCTGACCCCTGTTAAAAATGGATTTCATGTTGTTTTCTGTCGGCATTGCCTTTGCCACCACTGTCTGAGGGACATTTTACATGCAGCCAGAATCAATTATTTTATTACTATGATTTTCTCATGTTTGGGAGTTTGGTGACAAATGACAGGTGAGGTTGTTACGACTGTTTTATTAATTAAATCTTAACGGGACAGATTGAAGAAAAAAAGGCAGTTGGAGGCAGCCTAGAAAATGAATTAGTTCTATTTAGTCTTAGCCGGGGGACTGGATTCTAAGGGCTAAATCGGAATTAAATTTTAATATAAAAGGAATTGGTGGTTGGGGACTATAGGATTGGTAGGAAATTAGTTGTAAAGATTTGATCATTTTAGCCTTAAAGATGTAACAGTTTTGAAAAACAATTAATCTGCCTGATTCAGTATCTAAAATTTAGTAAATCTGGGAATTCATCAGAAAAATTAAAATAGGGTAAACTA